TTGCAGGTGCTTTAATCTGTAGAGCTATTTGGCTGGCCCCTGAACATGTTTCAACATAAAAAATAAAAAAGAACCTAAACATATAGCTCAGTGCAAAGATGATGTACCATAAAAAAGAAAAATAAAAAAAGTGAATAAACAGTTACATATTTTTACACAAAAATTTAGAAATCTAACCATATACATCATAGTAGCTGGACAGTCCTGTGGCATTTTTTTTCTCTTTTCTCTTTTTTTCCATTTATTATCCTTTTTTAAAAAAAACCATTTACTTGCACCTACAATATTTGCATGGCAATAGAATACCCATCTCTGACAAAACTGAACATAAAAAGGAGATATAAATGAAGGACAATTCTGTATCTGTATGTACAGAATAGTTAGGATAGATATACAGCTACTTTCTCTTAATTCAATAAGAAGAAAGATTTGTACTAATACTGTTTAGACAGGATATCATGACGGTATCTTGAGCTATGAATGGGTACTACAGAGACAGCAATATGCAATGTATTTATTGATGTAACTGTCCTACCAACCTGTTTTGAAACTTCTCATTGCAATTTTTTTCTCAATAAAATTAATTAAAAAATAGTGAACATGCATGTAGCACGTATCTCCTCTGCTCATACTCATGCTCCATTATTCCACTGGCCTTCATTTACAGAACATAACTTCAAAATAAAATTGTTAAGAATTTGAATATGGCAACAGCTCACATCAAATCAAGGCCAAGGTCTTTCCACATGTAGAGCTGTGCAGGATTGCTCATGGTATGTGTTCATGAAATGAACTCTGGGCCTATCAAGGTATGATACTACATCTGAAAGAAATACTAAGCTGACTCCAAAACAAACCTTATGAAAATCGACATTGTTTTTACTGAATTTTTCTTGATATTCATGAGAAGAGAGTGTCAAACAGATTTTTACATAAAATTTCCCACAAATCCTTTAAAACTTTCTCTGCCATCAAATCTCTCCTTAGAGGAAGCTGTTACTGGGGCATGTAGGTGTGATGCTTTGGTATGGTGAATATGTTTGAACTGAAGGAGATTGAGAGACCTCAGAAATAACTTTGGAACCAAGGTTTCTGGAACATTCTGTTGTGCATGTCTAATACCCCTTCTTCTTTTCTCCCCTAAAATACTGAAAGAAGAGTCTCAAGAAAGACTACAGTTTCCATGAACCCCCTCCATATAATGTCATAGAACAAGGAAAATGATTCATAGAAAGGAGCTGGCAACCTGAGAGGTTGGAAACTTTTATCTTCAGAATATGACAGCCTTTGTTTGCCATGTGTTGCCTCCCCTCCTCCTTTCTAACTCTAACCTATCACAACCTTCCTCTAAAAATTCCAACACAGCCCTAAATTTCAATCATCTGCATCTGGCTCTTCTTTGAGTTTTATATTTTGCATGCATGCATATATAATAAATTTGTATGTCTTTTCACCTGAATCTGTGCACTGTACACTTACTTGAGATACTCCAGAATGAACACTTTGGAGGGCAAAATGAAAATTTTCTTTGGCTCTATACTGCTTTGTTTGAGGTTCCAGGCATTGAGATGAGTGGAAGAGAGGATGGTGTGGCTTGGTTTGTACCTGGATCTCCTAATTGGCACAATGACCTGCTTCTATAAAGAAGTCAGCTGTCTGGTGACAACTGGTGGGACTGGATTGAAGGACTTCCCCTTACTTTAATTTTACTCCTTCCTTCCTTCCTTCCTTCCTTCCTTCCTTCCTTCCTTCCTTCCTTCGATACAGGGTCTCACTACACAGCTCAGACTCACAGTGATTTTCCTGTCTCAGCCTTCCCAGTGCTGGGATTACAGACATGTGCCACCACGCCTAGTTTTGGTGCCAGCATGGTGTGACCAGGGTTCTGTGGTGAGCATGGCATGTGGTATTGGGGACTGAACTTGGGTCTTTGCACTTGCCAGACAGGAGCTGAGATGGCTGAGCTATCTATGCTGCATGTCCCCCCCCCCTTACTTTAAAATAATGACTTGAGTCATTTGTAGGCAAATGGGTGCTCCTCGGGATCATGATGTTAAGTTAAACAAATCAGACACAGAAGCTTAAATATTTTGTGTGTGAAACCCAATTATAAATAAAGAGCAAAATGAAAGATAATCAATAGAAAGTAGGGAGATAGATCTTTCTCAAATAGGAAGAGGATCAAGAGATGGAGGGAGGCAGAAAGGAGGGGAGGGAAAAGGAATGAAAAAAGTAATTAAGATGAGCTATGTACATGTTCCAGCTCTGCACAAAGGATGGAAGCATGTACTAATAAAGAAAAAAAGAAAAAAATAACTAAGTCATTTGTTCTCTTAATGAACATATAACCAATAAGTTAAAATATTAAAATAAGCTTGAAGGGAAGACATAGATTAACAACTCTATACTTAAGACATGATGCATGTGAAGTTATTCTGTAGATCAAAAAAGTGGTGCCATTGAGATTCATACCATTTTCTGCATCTGAAACTGGGCTCCTTCTACCTGGTGTGCTGGTCCCTATAAAAGAGAGCAAGGCAACTCCAGAGCTCAGACTGTTTGCTGACCATATGTAC